CTCAAGTCAACTGGTACTGGAGATAGTTAACATCTTCCTAGTTTAGCTATTAGGAAAAGCAAAGGATGTAAAAATATGAACTGTAAAGTTACATCAATTTACATCAATCTTTTACATACCAAGTCAGGTTAAATCTTTGAATTATTTGGTTGATACACTACAAAATAAAGCTAAACATGTTCTCCTACTGGCACAATCTTAGGAAATACCGATTAAAAAAAATTATGTGCAACATATCATTTCCTTTGCTGTTCTTCCCACACCCTAAGCTGAAATGGCAGAAAACCATGGACTAAAAAATGAAGGAACTATCCAGGAAAAAGGGTCCCTACCATAGTTCCATAGTTTGATTTTCCCTAAATGCATATATAATGCCAGTCCAGATTAATATCAGTTCTGTGCTTTATGGGAAGTTTTCAAGGTGCATCTGGGAAATCTCGGCAGAGCCACCTATACTGATATGAAATCTATGGTTTTCAGACACCAAACCTGTTCCTATTTTGTTGTGTAGACCTAGGGTAACCCAGACTGCTGGACTGATCAGTCCAGAAATATGCAAACATAACTTTGTAATAGTTTCTTTGTACTAGGCATGAATAACTGCCAGAGGAAATAGGGCATTGTAAGACACTGATAACATTCTTTGCAAATAACAGATCCCAATGCAATGACATAGGTTTACATTTCCTTTTCTATTCAGTATTTAATAAAATCTCCAGTGAAAGTAAGCATGTGTTTAGTGTTCAAAGACACATTGCTGTTACATAGCATGTTCAATAAAGAAATTTCAAACTGTAAGATTTTTCCATATATATATATGGAAGCTCAGCTATGCGTGCTGTCTGAGTATCAGACTAATTCTTTCTCAAATGCTCCTTGCCTTTGTGTTCATCCTACCTTCTGTCTGGAAGAAAGTAAATTTTAACATAAGGATTCCTTGGCCTCCCATCTTCCCTTGAAGGAAGATCCTTTGCTCCCAATATTGTCACTATTAACTGATGACCAACCTTGTCATACCACAGTTTTATCTGTAATGAGAAAATATGAATTAGTGAACTCATTTCAACAACAAAGTAGCATATTAATCCTTAAAATCAATTTTGCTCATAAGCTTCTGTTTATATTAGTTACTTAAACAGAAAAGACCATGTTCTACTTTGTATTTGATTTGTAAAGCATACAAATAAATTAATACTATAATAGCTTCAGTATGTACCAGGAGTTACTCTTTTTAAAAAAATCCCTGGACAATATGTACATTATTTCACATTAATTGTTTTTTGCATTGTGCTCTGGTTAGGATTATTCTCTCTTGTCAATGATACTGTACTACTTGCATTACTGATGCATGATATTCATATATATACTTTTCTAAGGTGTTTATGCACAATGAATGGATTAATTTTTCACATCCTGTTGTGCTGGAAAGACTATGGGATAAGACCATGAATATTTCAAAACTCTAAACATTTTTCAAGATGCAGACACTCATCCTGAAATTATAGAAGCCCTCCAAAAATTGTAAGAGAGCAAGACTCAGTAGTCCAACACTCTTCACAGTCCAACTCAGCAACAACAAGACAAAACTTACTATTATTTGCCTGTAGAAATTATTATTAATCAGTATTAGACACGGTCTGCTATCCTGTTTAACTAGCTGCTCTTTAGCTATTTCAATTTGAATGCTATAAACTCCATTATTCAAGGAGAAGATATACCTATTTTAGCACATGGAAAGGGAAAATGGTGCAGTTAGGACCAAGGCTTTCCAAATAGCAAGGGAGTCACTACATAGTGGTACCAATGTAGTGTTATTAACTATAGCAGACAGGGGAGGCTCTTTTCATGGGGAGTTTGCCATGAGAAAGAACAAACTAGGACGTTTAGAGGAAACACTGACCCTGACTGAACTTATGGGGATCAAAGAGGGTAACACCCAACTACATGCCCAACCAAGCAGTGCACTTTCAGGCATGAATATACTCTGGCTAAGGTAAACAACGGCAGGGGACAGTGCCCATCTCATATCGCTTCAGAGACAGGGTCTCCACCTCCTGTCATAGCTCTTCATCTTCAGCCTTTCAGTCACTTAAAGAAAGGTCTTGACACAATTCTCATGACTTTTGACCCACCAAAAAAGAGACTGATTTCCCTAGTACTTCAGTAAGTGAGATTACACTAAGACACACCAACTCAACCAATGGTGTCAGTGTATTTCTTCCTTCTGCATTACTTCGGATCTTGCAACTCGTGTAGCCATCAGACAGCAGTGTTTGAGTGGATACTAAAAAGGGGAGGATACCTGTTCTCTATTTTTCTACAATGACCTTGCTACTGACTTTACAGGTTTCTGGTACCAACAGGTTAAGGGCTCTAAAGCAGAAAACTGTATGAGAAATTTATCTTTGATAAAATTTAAGACAGTTCTAGATGCCATCCCTACATTTCTGCAAAGCAAGATGCTTTGTCAGTATTTTTTCTAAACTGAGAATTTATTTGGACTAGTAGGTATCTTCATCCAGCCACAGATCACAAGTAGCAAGCTTTGCATCTTGCAAAAAAGTTTTAATGAACTCTGAAGTGCGAGTCAACATACATGTTCTCTGACACTAAATGTATCCACTGGCAGACTTCCTTGGGAGTCCTTGGGCAAAGGACAGTCTTGGCTAATCCGTCACCCCAGAGGTAGTAGCACTGAAGACAATATTCATCTGCTTTTTAGGAAAAATTATCCTTGCTTAAGCAGAATGCAACATATATGTGATCCAGACACTATTACAAACTATGACTAAGTGAAGATGAGATAATGTAGACATGGGTGCCAAAATATAACCATAATTATGCATTCTTATCCAAGCTAAGTGTTTCTTCACTATATTTGTTTGAGACTGAATTTTTGCAGGAAAACTTCAGCAAAAATGTTTGAGAATTACTCTAAGCAGAAGGTTAAATCATCTGACACCATTTCTTTGAGATGCTCTAACATCTGTGTTTTAGAACAAGAAATCAAATTTGTGATGACTTGCACCTTCTACTTTTCTCTTGGTGCTCTGGGGGGAAAAAAATAAAGGAAAAACTTGTATATAATGGGCATATAATTTGGCTTGTTATGGGAAAGGTCAGGAGGCAGAATTATGAGTAGAAGGCACATTCTCTTGTGTGGTCACACTGCTAGCACTCCAATATACAACACACACACTTGTAACACAAGAATTCATTTGACTTGGATGCAAAGAGAAGAAACTGGGAGTGAGAGAATGGACAAAGAACCCCATGGAGGAAGAGGATGGGACTGCATTCTTATGAGGTTAGAAGAAGAAAGAAGGGACAAATCAGAAACTGCTCTAGAATCACTGGAAAAGTAATGGATGCAGGATGCTTCTTGGTGAAACACTGGAAGAATGGAGCCACTAATGTCAGGGACCATAGAAGAACAGAGGGACAAAAACCAGACTGAATGAGACAAATGGAATGAGATTACAAAAGAACCAGCCATTCTGTAACTGGCACAAAATAACATTGCACTGAGAGATTGGGATGAAATAAAATCTGACAAGAAGTCAAGGTGGGAAAGTGGAACGGAAAATGAGAAACAAGCATCTTAACTAGCATACTGAACATGGAATATGAGTTTAGGAATAGGACTTATCTAATTCTGACTCTCCTGTGCACAAGTATTATGACAATATTCAGATGGTATGGTATTTTCTACAAGAACCTTTTCTATTCACAAGGAAAAAAAGAACAGCCATTAAGACAGCTAGGTGCAGTCCAAGAGGACTAGATCGATCCCTTCCTCTTTCCCAGAGACCCTGTGTATCAAGGCATGGATCCCTTGAAACATTTTTAAAAGTATTAACAAATTGCATATTCTTCATTGTCTGGGAGTCTGGCATGAGGCCCTGGAGCCTCATTTGTAGTGCTAAGTACTGGAATTGAAGTCTGTGATGTATATTATGCCTGGACAGAACCTGATTGTCTCAGACTCTGACCATAACTTCTCAATTCTTAATCAACAAATGCAGGACAATCCTACCACACTTACAGAATACTATACATATTTTATGTTGTGAAATAAATATGGGATAGCACATGTATAACTGAAAAGTTGATGAGGAAATTACTTTTTTCTTTTATAGCTTTGTCGAGTTGTATGAGAAATGTTTCCTAACACCAAAAAATGAGCACTGAATTATTCAGTCCATAGGGTGTACATCCCACAAGAATGTACAGACATGGTGCTCATCATTGAAAGACTTAAGCGGCTGACTAACAGCAGAATCTACAAACCATCCATTCAGCAGGTTTTTTACACATGCAGGAATTGGCACTTATAAAGCTTACAACATCTAAGAAACTGTGACAATGCAATCCTGATCTAAATGAAGGAAAGGGAAAGCTAAAATTTCAACACTTGAAACACACCACAGAAAAACCATGCTAGCTGACGATAATGTGGAAGCTAACACCTGTAAAAAAATTCTTGAACAGGATTTTGTCTACCTAGGCGACTTAGGATGCAGACACCTAGAATTCACATAGAAAGTGATCCTGAATGTTTTCTTTTCAGTTAGTGTTGAAGTCCTGGAAACTTATTTGCCACATACACGTATACTTTCCTTCCCTAGGCAGATGTGAACACTTGACTAAACTTCCATTGTAACCTACATTCAGGCAAACAGGCATCTAAATTCAGTGCATCCTGAAATTGTGAGATGGTCTGCTACCTGTGGAGTAGTGCATCTGTTGCGCTCCTTGGGACAGGCTTCCAGGTAAGAATACTCTGCATGGCAGAGTATTCTTCTGCAGTCCAGTGATGACGGTAGTCATTGGGGGGAAAAGAGATGAGGGTCTGGTCACAGCTTCATAGGATTCTTTCAGTTTTTAATCCAATAGCGGTCTAATACAAGATCAATATATGTTCTGGGTAGCAGATCTGCAATCTGCTACACCTAAATTAAGCTTTCCTTGCTATCACCTCACACTTGTATTCCCAGCCACACAGTATTTCAGCTTCAAATGAGAATTCATACTCCAGAGAAGAAAGTGATGTGCAACAGCTTGATGATAAAGGCACTTTTCTGAGAGACTGATAAAGAACTTTTCTGGTTCAATCTCTTCAGTCTAAACAGGGCTTAAACCACAGATGTCCTGTTTCTGGAATGAGCCTCCTACACGTAGAAAGATACATAAAAGCTGACTGCTGGTGTTGCATTCTGAGAAATGAGGATATCTAGTATTCCTGTTTGGTCCTCTGGCATCAGAAGAAGACTGTTGCCTCTGGAGAACCAACTCACTGTGGAGTAGCCTAAGTTTCAGATAGAGTTAATGGGGTGCCCTTTATTTGGGCTGGATCACTCACTGCAGATATTGAGGTACTTAGTTCTTTCCTTCAACTGTACAAGTCTAAGCTTCTCCCCAAGGCACCTCAGATTTATTTGAAGCTAGCATAAGTTACATGAATTAAGGACATAATTTCAGTTTACTAGATTTCATACTTTTTCTTTTAGATCTCCTCTTAGTGAGAAATTTTATTCAGAGATCTGATTGAGGTCAGAGTTCTAGAAAAGAAGTAACCATGTAATTAGGACCCATACTCTAATACATATGCAAAAGCAAAATCAGTTAAGAAAATCTAGATAATATTATAATTGCTACTTGCTATATTCTTATCTCATGAATGCTTGGCTGTTTGCTTAACTATGCAATCCTAATGTTTTGTGTACAGCACATAAAGGCACACCACATCTTAAGTGATAATTCTAGATTTAAAAACAGAATATTTGAAATTTTTAATTCTATGCTACATTTTACTCTTTATTTGTTATATAAGGGTTGCTTCACATATCTCATGGAAAAAAGATAAAACCTGTGCCACTGGGAGAGACTGCTTGCCCTGCAGCCTGATTTCTACCACTACAGCTTACCCAAACATCACTAGGTTTGAAAGACAGCTAGCCAGGCATTTTTGCTCTTCTGTTGTTCACTGTAATTTTCCAAGTAACCTACATAGCTGTTTATTAATGCA